GCTTGTGTGATGTTCTGGTGGGGTAAAAATCTACTACAACTACTATCGTCTATGGACTGTTAGAGGGTGCCACTTATCCTCCTGTCAATTTTCTAGGGAAGAAAACAAGAAAGGGGGGGGGGGGCGTTGAGTACTCTCCACAATTAATGGGAGGAAGGGCAGGAACGTTCACTACTCCTAACAATTACTAGTAGGAAGGGGAGGGGGGGGGGGGGGTCAGTACTCCTAGCAATTACTGGGAGGAAGGATGGGCGCGTTCGGTACTCCTTAGATTTACTGGGAGGAGGGGTGGAAATGTTCAGTAGTCCTGACAATTACTGTGAGGAGAGGCAGGGGCGTTCAATACTCGTGATAATTACTGGGAGGAGAGGCGAGTGCGTTCACTACTCCTGACAATTACTGGCAGGAGGGGTGGGGGAGGCTCAGCTCCCTATCTTAAAACATTTGATTGGTGCTTCCATGTTCAGGCGCCTATAAGCATAGTATCCATTCATGACTTTACAAAAAGTTTCCCATGTCCTGGTGCCTATACGCACAGTATCCATTCATGACTGACAAACAAGTTTCCCATGTCCAAGTGCCTATACGCACAATATCCACTCATGACTGACCAACAGTTTTCCCATGTCCAGGTGCCTATACGCACAGTATGCATTCATGATTGACCAACAAGTTTCCCATGTCCAGGTGCCTATATAGACAGTATCCATTTTTGACTGACCAACAAGTTTCCCATGTCCAGGTTCCTATACGCACAGTATCCATTCATGAATGACCGACATGTTTCCCATGTCCAAGTGCCTATGCGCACAGTATCCATTCATGACTGACCAACAAGTTTCCCATATCAAGGTGCCTATATACACAGTATCCATTTTTGACTGATCAACAGATTTTCAATGTCGAGGCGCCTATACACAGTATATAATTAAGACTGACCAACAGGTTTTTTCATGCCCAGGCGCCTACATACACAGTATTCATTTATTATCGACCATCAGGTTCCCCATTTCCGGACGCCTATGCCCACAGTATCCATTAATTATCCACCAACAGGTTTCATGTATCCATTCATTTTCAGCCAACAGGTTTTAGGTATCCCATGTCCAGGCGCCTATGTGCACAGTATCAATGTATGATAGTCCTGAAGGTAACCTATGTCCAGGCGCCTATATGCACAATATCTATTTATTATCGACCAACAGGTTCCCCATGTCCAGGCGCCTATACACACAGTATCCATTTATTATTAACCAACATGTTCCCCATGAGCAGGCGCCTATACAGACAGTATCCATTTATTATTAACCAACATGTTCCCCATGAGCAGGCGCCTATACAGACAGTATCCATTTATTATCGACCAACATGTTCCCCATGAGCAGGCGCCTATACACACAGTATCCATTTATTATTAACCAACATGTTCCCCATGAGCAGGCGCCTATACAGACAGTATCCATTTATTATCGACCAACAGGTTTCCCATATCCATGGGCCTCTATACACAATATCCATTCATGACGGACAAAACATTTTTTTTTCATTTACAGTACTCACTGTCAGCTTTCCCAGTGTGGGTTTCGGTGTCCTATTGTGCGACTGGGGGAAGGGGTGGGGGGGGAAGGGTGGAAAACATGTAACAGTCGATTAATAAGGGTGGCTCTCCTTTAAATATTTAAATAAAGGTCCCAAATGATCTAGGCAGAAAGTTAACCCTAACAGAGCCTTATTACGACCTGTCCTACAAACATTTAAAAGCTGTAACTCGGGGAAATATGAGGAACGAAAAGTATGAGGAACGTTTAAATTGTGAACTTCTTTTTTCGGCGACTACAGTGCCACCTCCGAGAGTATTTCCCGCGCCACTACACGCGACGCAGAAGGAACTAAACTATATGGCTAAGACTCACGAGCAAATACAATGGAGGAAGCTGCAGGAGCTGCGGAGCTGCGGTAGCTGCTGCTCTTGAGTCCTAGCCATCTAGTTTAGCCCCTTTGTAAGTTGCGGGCCCTGCCGTAGGATAGCGCTATCGGCAGTATTCTCGCGTGTCGCTAATTTTTTTCATCCGTAGTTAATCCTAGTTTTGCCGCCGTGTAATCGCCGTAAATAATCCGTTGCGTTTCGCGAAAATGTCGTGCTAAATTAATCCTACTTTTGACACGATTGAATCGCCGCAAAAGAAATGCGAATTTTAGATTTGAGTGAGGCTCTATTAGGGTTAACTTTCTGCGTAGATCATTTGGGACAGTTATTTAAAGGAGAGCCTTAAGGGTGTATCCCTCGAGGTCGTTGTGCATCTATCTGAGAGATAAGGAACCAGCAGTCTGCATACGTCTAAGCCAGATATGTAAATAGATATGTACGCACAATTGAAGTTCTGGACTGCGACTAAAGTCCAGAAGTGGGCGAACAACCAAACGTTCTCATGTTATTTTTGGCAAGGTAATGACCCGGATGTTGATGTTGTTTCTGTGACCTTTGATCAGTAAACACAAGTCGGGAGGAAGAAATCGAGCTTAGTTTGTGCAAGGATTTCATCAGTTCTTGTTCAACCCTAGGAAAAACACGGGGTCTGTGTAACAAGATACTCTTTCTAGCTGATTTCTAAGAGGATTTATGAAGCGAAACTGCTTTCTGTTAATTTGATGTCTATGTCCTGCATAATGCAGTGTTACCGAATTTACTAAGTAAATTTAAAATTTAGCAACATCCAAAATAAAATAATTGGCTCTCCTCCGAACGTCTACCCCCGCATTATGGCGGCCTGAAATATCCGTTCAGGGCTCAGTTCTATTAAAAATATGACGGCTCCGTATAAAGAAACAAATGCTCTAACAGGGTCTCAGCGATATGTTACTTGCGGACCTGTTTCTAATTGTTTCTGATTACCTGAAAATTCTAAGAGACGCAACACTGCAGGACGATAGTTAACAGACGATAATAGCTACCGTTGAAACTTTCCATTGTCGGACTTTCTGCCGAGGATTTGATTTGATTCAAGAACTGACATCACAGCACTCGGGGCATTCCCAAAAGCGCTCCGTCCCCATCTTCAGCAGCCAGCGAAGAGTTCCGATACTAAAGGTGCCAGTAGCTTTCTGATTAAACATCCGTCTTGCCTTTCCTCTGAGCCTCGAGCTTCTGCCAGAACCTCTCGTCACCCCCAACTGCATGCAGAGGAACAAATATTTAAAATGGGGACTTGTCAGACTTTCTGCCGATGAACAAATCGCGGCAAATCTAGGATCGGCTCGGAAAAACGAAACAAATGCAGGGTCTCAGCAATATGTTACTTGCGGACCTGTTTCTGTGACTATGCCTCACCGCCGACCGTATCCCCCAGACTAGATGCTGGGACTCACAAGCAGCAGCTACAGCATCTTCTGCAACTTCCTCCAATTACTTTGCTCGTGAGTCCCAGGCACCTAGTTTAGCTCCCCCATCCGTGCCGTGCGTAGCGGCGTGGGGGTTACGCTCGGCAGTGAGTTTAATCGCGTTTTGCGACAAGTCTGACATTTACCGCTGCTAAATCCTCAATCGGAAGAACAGTATTGCTAATCTGCGTGGGAGCACGTGGTCTACCCGCCATATCGCTTTCATCGTCTGTAGTGTTTCGAAATTGTCAACGGTCGCTTTTATCGCCTACTAGTATCGTCTGCAGAAACGCTAGACATTGTCACCAGTCGCTTTTATCGTCTGCTATTATCGTCTGCAATGTTGCGTCTCTTGAAATTGTCAAGTAATCCTAGTTTTGCCGCGATTTGTTCCTTAGCAGACAGTCCGCATTTTTCATTGGACTGAGCCCCGAACGGATATTTCAGGCCGTCATACTGCGTGGAAGTTTGGAGGAGAGCCAAATAAATATATAAATTATTTCTAATTTTATTAGGAAATATGTAGATATCTATAAAGGATCACTATTTATATAAATAAAATTCAACTAATTTGTAACCTCCCCCGTCCACTAAGATAAAGATGTTAAAGAAATGAAGCTAATAAAAAAAGTTGCCCTATGTACCTTTATGAGAACACTACACTGTTTAAACGACCTAGTGTCCGATCTCAATTTCCCAAAATATGCTGTATACATTTTATATCGCTATTGTATGTTTCATTTATTCTTCCCCCCCCCCTCTCACTAATACCAGGTTGAAGCCCAGTGTCGTGGCTTTCTGTATTTGTCTTGTGCTTCTCAGGTGGCCTGAGTGATGGATTTGTTAATCTTTGCAGGTTTCTGAAACACCATATATCTATCTCTTTCTTGGTTCTATTTCTTGTCTGGTGAATGAAAGGCTAGGTTTTAAGTAAAATGTTGGTGGGTCGATTGGCTTATTTATGAGAATGAATCTGTTTTCATCCTGCTAGTCCTTCAGTTTCTCTCCCCTCAGATCCATGTGGTCGTAGCCCCAGCTTTTTGAGTGCCTGTTGAAATCTCCACAATCATTCTTTTATTTATTACTATTGTATCCAGTGCCAGAGGGTGTCGCTCGGACAGTAATAGCCGATTAGTTAGAAATCTGTGTTTTCTGAAGAATCTGGTACTCTGCCCCTTCCATGTATGTTTCAGTCTGGCATGCGGATATGTTATCTTTACCTAGGGTTAGTATTCCATTCTTTCTTTTGTCTTTTATGTCAGAGCGGTAACACTGGTAGCTTCTGATTTAAAGGTAATGTCTTGTTTGAAGTAAGTCACTTCAAAACAGCATACGTGTATCTGTTCTTAATTAAAAGTGTTTTCTAGTTCACATTTTTTACTTTCTACACCCTCCTTGTTCAAGTAGATTGTCATTGCTTTTTAAGCGGTCAACTCTTTATACCATTGCTGAAATCGACACACAGCAGTCTGCTGCCATATTGCTGGAACCAGACCGGGTATATTGGCATTACGAAGCACGTTTACAACAGATCAGAGATGTGTCAGTTAATTTTACTATGTATTTGTTTAACGATTTTATTTAATTAAGAAATTCACAAGCCTATAAAACTATTTTTACAGTCAAGAAAGACATGGCTGGTTTTTTTAAAAATCTTGCCAGTGGATTTAATGACATTGTAAATGCTGCCCAAGCAAAGATCAATCCTCTCACTGTTCAAGCCATCCAGGCAGATAAGCTTTCAGGGTAAGTATACTGATGACCACCATTGTGTCAGAGATTACTGTTTTTTTTTTTACAAACAACACTAATACACATGGATATACACATATCACTCTTAGATTCTTAGATATTCACTTTTAACACTGATTGCTAAGAAACTTACATGATACTTTTGGAATAGAGATATGAAACTTGTATATAGTAAAAAAAAATGACGTTGTTTAGAAGGTTAAAGTAGAGAGGATTGACTCCATTGTACCAGATCTTCTCCCATTTGGCTCAGTCTATCTTTGCAGAATAGCCTGCCGAGAGAGTGTCACACAAAGCATGAACACAATAGCTCTGGTGACAATCCCCAGGTATCTCTGTAAAAACTGCACTCATGAACCCAAAGACATAAGGCTACAGGTTTGACCACTTTCAGTGTCTTGTCACTAGCAAACTGAAGACATGTAGAAAGCTGTCTTATGGTCTTTGCCTACTGTAAACAAAGAGTTAACATAGTGGAGAGTTTTCAATTTTGCTCTTGTACCATGCATGTTACCCTGAGATGTGTTGCTTTAGTTGAACATCTCTGCTAATCAGTTGCTACCTTTATAGTGAGCCATAATTGTTGATTACTTTCCAGTGTGCCAACAACACTATCGTTTCATTCTCAAAACTTTGACCTGTTGCAGTTGAGTTGTTGTTGAGTTGAGTCAAAAATTGACATCACAGCACTTAGGGCATTCCCATAGGAGCTCTGTCCCCATCCTCAGCAGCCAGCACAGAGTTCCAGTACTTATGGTACCGGTCATAGTCTAGTTGTATGTTTGTCTTGCCTTTTCTTTGAGTGTAGTGTGCCGGCCAAACTTTCTGGTTACACCCAGGGGCCTCATTCTCTCTAGCCCATAATAATCTAGTTTCTCTTCTGACTTCGTTATTTGTTCCATAAGGGCTCTGACCACAACTGCCTTGTCGTGTATCAATTCAGCAGCGATGCAGATGCGGCCAGTCTGTTTGCCTGTTCATTCCCCCACATGCCGGCATAGCCTGGAGAAAAGATCCAAAGTATGCTCACTACCCGTGACCTTGCAAATGAAGCTTGCCACTCTGCTCGAAGCAATCCTGTCTTTACCTTTTTCAGCATGCTTTCAGAGTCCGTTACAATTACGACATGTGTATGTATCTTTTTTCTCTAGCCACCAGCAAGCTGCAGTGACCACCTCCTTCTCCATTCTCGTGCCAGGCTGTCCTGCACTAAAGATTTTCCATTGGCTTTCGCTATAAAACCCCAGGCACTTCTCTTCCCTCTCAATACAGAATCATCTTTTTAGATAATCAGATCATGAGGATGAGAATTGTCATGAATCACTTCCACCTCAATAGTTCCCGCAAGCCGCTTTCTGCACTCCTGGCTTTATGTGATCATGACCCTACATAGGTCAGACCTCTGGTGCTCTGACCCACTCCTCCCTTCGCCCAATGTTCTCCAGCATGCATACTTGTCTTATTGTGTCTTCTGCTTGAGCCATCCATTAAATTTCCCCTTTTCAACCTCTAATGCTTAACTGCATCTAAAGTTTCAACCAGTGCTCTTTATCTGCAGCTACTCTGGGGTATGACTTAGTCTGCAGTACCTTAAGTCTATCTGCAATGGTTGGCAATGCAAGGATGTATCGCATGCACACGATCAGGGTGTCTCTTGCACATCCCAGGATCCACTGCATAGTTTCATTCTGTGTTCGCTCCAGTTTCACTAGCTGACTCTTCGAGACAGTGAGCAAACACAGCCCATAATCAGTCACTGAGACGATTAAGTACTGGTATAGTGCGAACAGCATTTTCTTTTCCGTGTCCATTGCTGCAATAATCTTTAGTGCATTAGGAATTTTTTTTTCCTATACACAACCAGCTCTATGTGATACTTGAAAGATAAGCTTCTGTTGAATGTGATTCCCTGGTACCTCAGTCTGCTGTCTCTCTTGATGTCCCTGCCATTTATTTTGAGGCTTCAAACATCAGTTTTAACAATCCTTTTGTCCAAAGAATATCATATGACAGTTGCCTTTTCTAGGTTTATTACAGCACTCATCTCTGTACATCAGTCGATCACCTTATCTACTGTTGCCTATAACTCTTGAGCAATTTGATTCTGATCTCTCCGCTTCCTATGTGTGAGAATAACATCTGCGAATGTTAATATTCTACCAACTCCAGGTGTTTCCAGTTCTGCAATCTTGCTCCTAAACACATTGAACAGCACAGGTGACATTGCAGAACCCTATGGTAGTCCCAGGGCTATAATACTTGGTTTAGAGGTCCATGAACCTAGGCGGAGAGCTACCTGACGAGAATATAAAGCAGCTGCTAACCAATTCACCAACCAAGGACAGACTCCCATCTCCATAAGCGCTGTCATCAAGATATAATATCTGACTCTTCTAAATCAAGTGCCCCTGCAACTGTTTCCTGTCTGTTCTGGAAACCCTTAAAGGCGTCAAAGTCAAAAGTGGCTGCATTTGACCATGTTTCTTTTCCTGGCCAGTAACTTCCCAAACCTCTTGGAAGGAGCTTTCTGTGTTCCAAAAGTTATTATAGCTTACCCGCCACTATCTTCTCCAGCACTTTGCCAAAAGTGTTTTGTTATGTTCCTAAAGCCGCTGAGTTTTGAATGATCCTTGTCAGGCTTAGGAAGTGGAATCAGATGGTTGTGCATCCACTCTTGTGGAACTGAAGCTGTGGTTAAAACAGGCAGTCATCTCCACCAGATCTGCATCACTCATGTCCCTCATGTGGGAATATCTGACCCCATCAGGCCCCGGTGCAGTGTCTTTCACCCTTTTCATATTTTCCACCTGTATGATGTCTTCATGGTTAATGGTTAGCGGGGTAGGGGTATCCCCTATCAAAGGAGAAGTAAGACGCCTCCTTTCCTCCGCTAGTCTACGGGACACCCTTGGGCAAGGTGGAGTACCCGTTTAGCCCCCCAATCAGGGTTACGTGAAGCCATGGAAGCAGGTGGTGGATGGAGTGTAAGAGCAGCCGACAGGTATTGTTGGTTATGGTCTGCACTCTGCGGCGATAGGCAGATGATCTCATCAGTAGAGACAATGGCTATGGCCACCGACTAGTATAGTCACTGCTCAGGAGGAAAGCAATGGCAAACTACCTTCTGCAAATTTTGCCAAGAACCCATAACAATCATGAAAGAAAACATAACACAGAAGAGATCTGGTGGCGAGACCCCAGGCCAGGCAGATCAGATAACACTGGGGAAGAGTGTGATACAGGGGTCGGTACTAGTAATCGTGATGACGGAGTTAATCCTGACTGTGTTACCAAGGAAATCCACTGTGTCAGACTAAGAAACAGAATGCGAATAGGAACGTGGAATGTGAGAAGTCTGTATGAAGGAAAGCTTAAAGTAGTATGTGATGAGATTGAAAGATTAAATATTCAGATCTTAGGAATTTGTGAACATCGTTGGAGTGGCAAGGGACATTTTATCAATGAATATGGAAGAAGCTTTTTCGTATATTCTGGTAGAGATGTAAGAGGCCAGAGCGGAGTGGCATTTTGTTTAGATAAAACAACAGCAAAAGCTATTATGGGATATAATCCAGTTAGTGATAGAATCCTAACTATCAGACTTAAAGGCCGTCCAAAAAACATAACTTTCATGCAGGTATATGCACCAACTTCAACAGCAGAGGAGGGCGAAATTGAAGATTTTTATGCCATACTGCAAGACACATTAAATAAAATTAATCAGAATGATATAATAATAATAATGGGAGATTTTAATGCTAAAGTAGGTACAGGCAGAGATGAAAATGAGAGACACGTTTTAGGAAAATTTGGATTGGGTAATAGAAATGAAACAGGAGAAAAATTGATTGAATTTTGCATAGAAAATGAATTAACAATAGCTAACACACTTTATAAACAACACCCTAGAAGGCTTTTCACATGGACATCCCCTGACGGTGTTACCAAAAATCAGATAGATTACATTTTAATACAAAGAAGATGGAGATCGAGCATAACATCTGCAAAAACCCTGCGAAGTGCAGATTGCGATACAGATCATCAGTTACTAGAAGCAGATCTAAAATTAAAACTCAAAAAGCTTACCCGAGGACCAAGGCCATTTCGATTTGATCTCACAAAAATACCAGATGCATACAACGTAGAAGTGAAGAACCGTTTTGAGGTCTTGATGTCTGTACAAGAGGAAATGACACCTGATGAACTGGCGGTACAAGCTAGGGATATCTTGATAACAGCAGCTAAAGACTTAATACCCACCAGGACTAAGCAACATAAACCATGGATCACACCATACACGTTAGAACTAATAAAACAACGAAGAGAACTGAAAAGAAAGGAGAAACCAATGATAGTAGGATGAAGTATAAATTTTTTACACGAGAAATAAGAAAGTACACAAGAAAGGATAAAAATCAGTATGTACAAGATTGCTGTATTAAAATAGAGCAGCATCACAAAAATGGAAGAGATTACGAAATGTTCAAGGAAATGAAGTTATTGACAAGAAATTTTCAACCTCAGTTAAATGTTATTTGTGACAGGTTGGGAAATACTTTAACAGAATCTAGACAAATTCTAGGAAGATGGCAGGAATACTGCAGCGGAATGTATGATATGAATGACAGTGAGGATATGAATGATATACATGAACCAGTAACAGTAGAGGCAGAACCTGAACCTTCATTAGATGAAATTTCATGGGCAATAAGGAGCCTGAAAAATGGTAAATCACCTGGATGTGATGAGATACCAGCTGAATTGATTAAAGCGGGAGGAGAAGAAAGCATAAAAAATCTATCATGCATTATGTGAAAAGATATGGAAATATGGTATTTGGCCAAAAGACTGGAAGAGAACTATCTTCATTCCAATACCAAAAAAGGGTGACCTGAAATTATGTACAAACTATCGAACTATTGCCCTGATCAGTCATGCAAGTAAAATTCTACTAAAAATTATAATGAGAAGACTGCAAAAGAAAATGGAAGAAG